TGCTTCTCACTGTGATTTTCACAGTGAGAGCACGCCAGCGTCCATAGTAAAGCATTGTAAATGCTTTCCTATGCGACCAGCTGAATGCGCGCGCAGCTCTTGCCGCGCGTGCGCATTCAGCCGACGGGGCGGAAAGGAGGAGGAGGAGAGCTCTCCGCCCAGCGCTGGAAAAAGGTACGTTTAAACCCCTTTCCCCTTTCCAGAGCCGGACGGGAGGCGGTCCCTGAGGGTGGGGGCACCCTCAGGGCACTATAGTGCCAGGAAAACGAGTATGTTTTCCTGGCACTATAGTGGTCCTTTAACAGTGCAGAAGATAAGAAATTAAAAATAATGCCCAACAATGGATGCAGATGGTGGAGAAGATCCACACAACAGAAGCTATGGTTGCTGCGGCCTCCCTGACTACAGTTAAATACCTGGCCATTTAGTCTCCCTGGATCCAATACGTAGCTCTGAATTGAACTGACAGGGCCCAATGCCTTAGAGACCATTACATAAAGTAAACAGTATTTGCTAAAGAAGTTCTGTAAACATTAGATCTCTTTTTACAGGAAGTGTTTAGGAAGGCTGTACAAGTCACATGCAGGGAGGTGTAACTAGGGCTGCATTAACAAATTAAACTAGTTATTTTGGTGTTTATTTAAATTCTAAATTCAATCTGATTATACCTTGAGAAATATGATAAAACTTAGTAGATATACACCAAACAAATTGGTAGAGTATCTTTCTAGGATTTAAAAATAAAGATTGGATATGGCTACCATAACCACTGTTTCACTAGTATAAAATAACCACCACCAGGGGTTAGACAATCAAAATGAAACACATTAATTGAAATAAATCAATTAAAAATACACAGGATTCAGTGGAAATGAGAATGTATAGAGCACTTCACAATAAATGAAAGTTAATATCTACTCTCTTATTCAAATACAAATGTGTCAGCTGATCATGTCATCACCACCTATTAAATAAGGAAGGCAGAGTCTATGAACTGCTGAAAATAATCTAATATAGGTTTCAATAAATTATGAATCCGATATATATGGCTGGGTAATATAGGTAAAATAAAATGAAATAGAATAGCACCCCTCCAAGGGTTAAAATCTGATGCAGCAGACAGATACTTTTCCAAGTTTATTAATAAATGACAAAAAATGCAACAAATATATGTAGCTATCAATAAAAGTCCCAAAAAAGAGTAGCAAATAAGATAGCACCAGTACCAGGTTTAACAGATATTGAGATTACTTTCTCGCCGGCCGGACAGAAGTGAATGGGATTTTCCTCGTGCTGTGTACCACTGGTTTCTAGCCGCGTGCGTTCCACTGCGGCTCAGGATGCGTGTCAAAGATGCTCACTCTCGGGACCGATGTGTGTTAGTTTGCAGATGCCGCCTGAAGCTCACTCAGGCACTTCTGTCCGGCCGGCGAGAAAGTAATCTCAATATCTTTTGGGCTCGAGGTCTGTTAAACCTGGTACTGGTGCTATCTTATTTGCTACTCTTTTTTGGGACTTTTATTGATAGCTACATATATTTGTAGCATTTTTTGTCATTTATTAATAAACTTGGAAAAGTATCTGTCTGCTGCATCAGATTTAAACCCTTGGAGGGGTGCTATTCTATTTCATTTTATTTTACCTATATTACCCAGCCATATATATCGGATTCATAATTTATTGAAACCTATATTAGATTATTTTCAGCAGTTCATAGACTCTGCCTTCCTTATTTAATAGGTGGTGATGACATGATCAGCTGACACATTTGTATTTGAATAAGAGAGTAGATATTAACTTTGATTATACCTTGACTACTCACTTCAGTGAATAACCATGTTAATGCTACACTGTACTTGTAACAGATTTCTTAAATGACCAGTTTACTCTAGTATCCATCACAGCTTACTCTCTATTATTAAGCAGCCATCTGCATCTATCACTGCTCACCTACTGTAATTACAGCTCACACCATATTAAATGCCCCTTTTGTACCTATTATGTTCATTCATGATTAAATTCCCCTCTTGCACCTATCACAGCTCACTTATTACTATCACAGCTCATTCATTGTTAAATGCCCCTCTTGTACCTATCATAGCTCATTCATTGGTAAATCCCCCTCTTGTACCTATGACAGCTCATTCATTGTTACATGCCCCTCTTGTACCTCTGATAGCTCATTCATTGTTACATGCCCCTCTTGTACCTCTTGTACCTCTGATAGCTCATTCATTGTTACATGCCCCTCTTGTACCTCTGATAGCTCATTCATTGTTAAATGCCCCTCTTGTACCTATCACAGCTCACTCATTGTTAAATGCCCCTCTTGTACCAATGACAGCTCATTCATTGTTAAATGCCCCTATGGTACCAATGACAGCTCATTCATTGTTAAATGCCCCTCTTGTACCCATGACAGCTCATTCATTGTTAAATGCCCCTCTTGTACCAATGACAGCTCATTCATTATTAAATGCCCCTCTTGTACCAATGACAGCTCATTGTTAAATGCCCCTCTTGTACCAATGACAGCTCATTCATTGTCAAATGCCCCTCTTGTACCAATGACAGCTCACTCCTTGTTAAATGCCCCTCTTGTACCAATGACAGCTCACTCCTTGTTAAATGCCCCTCATGTACCTCTGATAGTTCATTCCTTGTTAAATGCCCCTCTTGTACCTGTCACAGCTCATTCATTTTTAAATGCCCCTCTTGTACCTATGACAGTTTATTCATTGTTAAATGCCCCTCTTGCACCTAGGACAGTTCATTCCTTGTTAAATGCCCCTCTTGTACCTCTGATAGCTCATTCCTTGTTAAATGCCCCTCATTCAGATGACACTGTCTCTGCTATAGATTTCTCCATTACCAATTGTCTATTTGTATCTGTCAAGGATCACACATTATTGAATGTTCTCTGTACCAGTCACAGTTTGCTTCCTATTCCTCCAAGTCACCCTGAGCCTGTCAGACCTGCCCACCCCATATTGCTCTATTGTCATAGCCCTTCCTGTATCAGATCACCCTGCCCTCCTCCATTTCTCACAGATCTCACACTAAACGTGCTATTCTGTTTCTCACAGCCCATCCGTGTTGGCTCAGTTACCTCGTTATAAAGCCCATGGCCCGCCCGGGGGCACATACACAGGGCAAATAGCAGGGCAACAAACGTGATGCCGGATCCAGCCCTGTGCGACGCCATGACACCCAGCCTCTCAGTCACATGACCGCAGAGAGCCCTCCCATTGGTTGGTCTGGAAGCCCAGTGCATCCAGAGACAGCAGGTGGCTCCTGTCACTAGTTAGTGAGCACAGGTCAGTCAGTGCTGGGGATTATAGGAATTACAGCTCCATAGCTGGGCTAAGCAATGCAGTGAAACTTGGTTACTGAGAACTGCTGACACCAACAGGTAACACAGTCTGGCTGAGTGTGCTGAGAGTTACAGGATGCCCTCATTGAGATGTACCTAGGTTTCATGGTAAATGTATATTTACACCCCATTTCAATGTAGAAATTGTATTTGTCTCATTCTGCACCCCAACCCTTTTTGTTAGTTTAATTACACGCACAAGTGCAAAGAAAGCTGTATAAAAACAAAGTTAAAATACAGCACAGGGCGCCACAGTCACAAAGAGTGGGAAGGATAGAATTACCAAACTGATGAGGACCGCATGAAACTCACATGAAAGAGAAAAATATAAAAGATCGTAGTGTAAACTTTAATAGATATCAGTGATTAAAAAAAGAGGGAAAAAAAAAACGTTCACAAACATAATGGCACAATTGAAATAATCAATACGCCGGGCCGTAATGACGTACCGTCTGCGCAGACACATCCGGCAGATGCAACCCGGCGTATTTAAACGCTGAAGATTAAAGAACGGAATACACGCTCCTGATGAAGTCGCAGCACTGTACCCTCGAAAGGACTCCAGCAGTTATTTAGAAACTGACTATTGACTCCTGGTCATTCCTAGCTTAATTTTTAGCACGACATATGACACAAACATTTTGTACTTTGCAGATTACATTTTATATTTTTTTATACATATACAGATTGTGTAATACTGCCCCTGACTTAGGGTGACCACATTTCCTAACTGCCATTCAGTGACACTGTCAGAAATGCATTCCATACATTTTACTACCCGTCTCTACCCCTTCCATGAATATTAGAACCACCCCTACCCCTTCCATGCACAAAAGAACCCCACCTACCCCTTCCAAGCATATTATTTTCTACCTACCCCTCTCCCCCTATCCTTATTAGTAGCCCCCCTAACCCTTTCCAATTATTTTTCTACCTACCCCTCCCCCCATCCATATTAGTAGCCCCCCTAAACCCTTCCAATTATTTTTCTACCTTTGTCACCCTTTTACCTGACATAGCAGGGGGACCTCTGGACGTCAGGCAGGCGCAGTGTCAGACTGAGCGCCGGGTAGTCACGTGACACTCGGCCAGGGCCGGTGCAAAGATTTTTGCCGACCTAGGCAAAAGTAAAGTTTGCCGCCCCCCCCATGTGACATCACAATGCCCCACCCATATGATCTGCCATGTTAACTAATGCCATTGCTGGAGTGCCGCCGTGTTTACATTAAAAGGCCTGCAGGGACAGGCTATAGACACCAGAACCACTACATTAAGCTGCAGTGGTTCTGGGGACTATAGTGTTTCTTTAATGTGAGGTAAATTAGAGATTAGTGCCACGAATAATATACTAGATTGCCTACTTACAACCAGATGAGGATGATGATTGGCTCTAGCTGCAGTCTGGCTCCACTGGTCTGGTGTAGAACAGGCTCTCTGGAGGCTGTTTGTAACTGTGGTCACAAAAATCAATGTTCTAGGAGAACGGGAAGCAGCTCCATTTTTTGGGGGCCCTTTACACAGCTCAAGGTCTGGGTCCCTGGGTCCACCTTCATGTTCCACCAATGGGTTTGTTCACAGGGGGTGGAGTGTGTAGGGGATGTCCTGATATGTGTGTAAGGAATGCATTGTGTGAATCTGTGTTTGTATGTGTAAGGGCTGCAAGGTGTGTTTCTGTGTATGTACGGGATGCAGTGTGTGCGTCTGTAAGGGGTGCATTGAGTGTGTGTACGGGGTGCATTTAGTGTGTGTAAGGAATGCATTGTGTGTTTCTGTGTGTGTAAGATTTGCATGATTGTGCGATTGTGCGAGTGTGTGTGATGGATGTCAATCTCTCTCCCTCCCTTGTCACTCTCTTTCTCCCCCTCTCTCCCTCCCTTGTCACTCTCTTTCTTCCCCTCCCTCCCTCCCTCCCTCCTTCCCTTGTCACTCTCTTTCTCCCCCTCCCTCATCACTCTCTTTCTCCCCCTCCTTCCCTCCCTTGTCACTCTCTTTCTCCCCCTCCCTTGTCACTTTTCCCTCCTTCCCTCCCTCCCTCCTTGTCACTCTCTTTCTCCCCCTCCTTCCCTTGTCCTCTCTTTCTCCCCTTCCTCCCTTGTCCTCTCTCCCCCTCCTCCTTGTCACTCTCTTTCTCCCCCCTCCCTCCCTCGTCCTCTCTTTCTCCCCTCCCTTCCTCCTTGTCACTCTCTTTCTCCCCCTCCCTCTCTCTTTCTCCCCTCCTGTCCTCTCTTTCTCCCCCCTCCCTCCCTCCTCCTCTCTCTTTCTCCCCTCCCTCCCTCCTTGTCCTCTCTTTCTCCCCTCCTTCCTCCTTGTCACTCTCTTTCTCCCCTCCTTCCTCCTTGTCCTCTCTTTCTCCCCTCCCTCCCTCGTCACTCTCTTTCTCCCCCTCCTCCCTTTCTCCTCCCTTGTCCTCTCTTTCTTCCCCCCCTCCCTCCCTTGCTCTCTTTCTCCCCCTCCCTCCTTGTTCTTTGTCACTCTCTTTCTCCCCTCCCTTGTCACTCTCTTTCTCCCCCTCCTTGTCACTCTTTCTCCCCCCTCTCCCTCCTTGTCCTCTCTTTCTCCTCCCTCCCCCCCCCCCCGGTTCCTACGCCCATGGGTGTCTACAATGGACTGGTATTCCTGGGGACTAAGCCTATTATAGGCATGAAGCGTTTTTGCACATATTGATTATTTTTGCTCTTTTTTTAAATGTGTCTGTGTTATTTTCCTCAAATTAGCATTTAGTTATCCTATTTATATACTCTTTATTTTCTTCTGGTATTAATAAAGTATTATCCAGTTTCTAATCTGGTCTAAATGGTGAAACTAATTGATCTTTGATTTCCATTATCATTCCATTGTGATCTGTCCATGTTACTTATTTTATGTATATATTTTTAATTTGTTGTATGAGGGAGTTCTTCCCCAAAAAATTCTATATGGGAGTACGAATAATGTACCCTAGAAAAGTGTGTAAAATCTTTCTCGTGTGGATGTACCATTCTCCATAAACTATATTCCCCCAAAAGTGACTGAATGGTTCTAGATTGATTTTTGACTTTGTTAACCATTGCATTTCTTTCTAGATATTTCTTATCCATTTTATAGTCTAGTACCATATTAAAGGACCACTATAGTGCCAGGAAAACATACTAGTTTTCCTGGCACTATAGTGCCCTGAGGGTGCCCCCACCCTCATGGCCCCCCTCCCGCCGGGCTGGATGGATGGAGAGGAAGGGGTTAAACTTACCTCTTTTTCCAGCGCCGGGCGGGGAGCTCTCCTCCTCCTCTCCGCCTCATCTCCTCCTCTTCGGCTGAATGCACATGAATGGCAGGAGCCGCGTTCTCAATGCTTTCCTATGGACGCTGGCATCTTCTCACTGTGATTTTCACAGTGAGAAGCGCGGAAGCCCTTTAGCGGCTGTCAATGAGACAGCCACTAGTGGCTGGATTAACCCTAATATAAACATAGCAGTTTCTCTGAAACTGCTATGTTTATAGAAAAAAGGGTTAACCCTAGCTGGACCAGGCACCCAGACCACCTCATTAAGCTGAAGTGGTCTGGGTGCCTATAGTGGTCCTTTAAGATCACCGGCCATTTCTAATACGCCCTGTGTGATATTTTCCAATTTGTTGCATATTTTTTCTTAGGAGACCGACTGGGCCTTTATTAGGTGCATATACATTTACCAAAGTATACAATACCTCATTTATCTTGCATATCAGTATAATGTATCTGGCATTAAAGTCAATCTCTTGGTAAATATTATCAAAATTTGTGTAATAGGATATTAAAATTGCGACTCCTTTTTTTTGTTTACTAAGGTGGAATCTACTTTATTAGAATATCCCTTTAATTAAGTTGTTTGTTTTTTTTTACTTAAGCTTTTCAAAAAAATTCCTGGTTCACCTTGACCAAGCAGGCTTTATTACCGGGAGAGAGGCTAAAAACAACACTACAAAAGTATTAAATCTTATTTGCTCGTCTAAATTTTCACAATCATCTGACCTATTACTCTTCATAGATGCTGAGAAAGCATTTGACAGAGTGTATTCGTTTATCATGGTGGCGACGTTGAAGTACATGGGCTTTGGCCCTAACTAATCTACGCAAAGCATTGTCTGCTTTTATTTGGTTGTATAAACTCTTTGGAAATGCTTACACTCTCCTGGTCCAACAGAAAACAGTGGAGGGGCTAGGAGAAATGTACCATAAGGCAGTACTTTTGTCCAGGATTTATGACTGGTAACACACAAACACAGAGAAGCAATGGGTTAAGATCGAAGACTATCTTCAGAATATCAATATACACCATCCCATGGCATAAATCAGGCCACTCCTTCCTTAAACATTCACATCACCCGACTTTTACTCCTACGCTACAATTATGGTCATACATCAGACATAATCAAGAAATCTCACCCTTCCCCTCCACACTCTCTCCAATATCCCACAACCCTCTATTCAAACCAGAGGAAACAGACAGGGCCTACAGAGACTACCACACAGCAACATACTTGCCCCTCCATGCTTTGCTTAACGAATATGGTATCAAGCCTCTAGCAAACCTGATACCCACCACGGCGCACAGCGTGCTTCAAAAATTTAATTACGACCAACTTGTTAATTTTATAATCTCAAAACACCTCATCCTACTTTGTCTAAATTCTAAAACCTGTGTCCCACACAAATCTTAAAGAAGAAACATGCCTCTACTATGTATACCCTTTTACATACACAACAGGGCCAACCTCTACGATTCAATGGACTCAGGAGCTACGAATTTCTCTTACTTCCGAGAACTGGAAAAATATTTTCCTATAGATCTTAGTATAACCTTGCCATGCAAGAGAGCAATTAAAAATTATCACGATGGATCTACACCCCTGCAAGGCTACACAAACTTTACCCCAACTCAGTAGATACCTGCTGGAGGTATCATCAACACAACTGCACGACTGCACATATTTGTTGGCAATGCCTTGTTGTAACCAATTTCTGGCAACGAATCTCAGCGTACGTTCATTCCATCACAGGCACGAAACTCTCTCTGACAACTGAAGTTGTTATACTCTTACTTGTACCGACTTCCCTAACCAAATTTAAACTTCCTTTAACTAAACATCTTCTGCCTGCAGCCAACCAGCTCATTACAGCCTTCAGAAGAGAAAGCCAGCCCCCTACTGTAGGGGATTGGATACAGAAGGTGGAACATTTTAGAATATTGGAAGAAATGTGATATTGAATGTCACATAAAAAAAAAAAGTGTAAAATGAAAGGAATATTAAAATAATACACATACTAAAGGAAGTTTCACAAATTGTAGTTATAGGTAAAATAAGCTTAATTTTATTGATAATGATAAAAATAAAGAAGGACTCAATGGGGAATTTTGTTCATAGATGTCCAAAATAGACTTTGACATTATATTAAATTATAGCCACACAAATATAAAAGAATGATGATATATGGAAATATTTATGTATTTGGAAATATAAAACATATCCCTTTAAATAGTAAGGGAATAGTTTTTCATATTTTGTATATGGTTGCTTGCAGAGTCTCTATCATACTATATATTAATAATGTTATATGAAGAATGCACTTATAAAATTGTATAAACATGAGGAGAAATATGATAAATAATTGATAAAAAGGGAAAGTGTGCTTAAAAGTATTTCATTTATATGTTTTTATTCCTCCTCCATGCCTATCTCATGTACAATACATCAATTTCAAATTGTCCCGTTATTGTGGACCGGATGTGGAACGTAAGAAACACAGCATCATTGAAAAAATCCTGTGGAGCGCACGTCTGACGTCCGAAATGGAACGTGATGACGTCACATACCCGGAACCAGGAAGTGATCGCAATCTAATCGGGAGCAGCTGAATTTCATCGGAGAAACACATGAGTGGACGTTATGAACTGATTATGGGGTGTATTTAAGAGGGAGGGAGGGGGAATGGTTTTTATTTATTGTTATACCTGTCACACTGCTGCAAAGTCCCTGAGGAAGTCCCTGGAGTGGGAGGAAACGCGTTGGACAGATTGTGGACAGTTTCAATTAATTTTTATGCTGACTGATCCTTACCTATGTGTAAGTAATAAATGTTTTTTATACTTTGCGCACATCTTTCTACTTTTCATTCTGGATGCATTTTATTTTTCTATGTTATTGAGATCTGGAAGACCATACATTGGAATTAGAAAACTGCCTTAGAGCTACATGGATTTTTGATACGCCCTGTTTTAACAGTCAAAGTGTGAGTGATCCATTTGGCACATATCACTATTATAAGAGTATCATACGGAGTTGCACTATGTTATCTTTTATTTCCCTATTGTTGGATTGACCCATATTTGTATACATGTACAGGCCTGTCTGAAGTTTGCCAATGAACATCTCACTTGGTGAAAGTGTTGTGGTCAGATGAGACCAAAATCAAGCTCTTTGGCATCAACTCAACTCGCCGTGTTTGGAGGGGGAGGAATGCTGTCTACAACCCCAAGAACACCATCCCCACCGTCAAACATGGAGGTGAAAACATTATGCTTTGGGGTTCTGATAAGGGGACAGAACAACTGCACTGCATCAAAGGGACGATAGACGGGGCCATGTACCGTTAAATCTTGGGTGAAAACCTCCTTCCCTCAGCCAGGGCATTGAAAATGGGTCGTGGATGGCTATTCCAGCATGACAATGACCCAAACCACACAGCCAAGGCAACAAAGGAGTGGCTCAAAAAGAAGCACCTTAAGGTCCTGGAGTGGTCTAGCCAGTCTCCAGACCTTAATCCCATAGAAAATCTGTGGAGGGAGCTGAAAGTTCGAGTTACCAAACATCAGCCTCAAAACCTTAATGACTTGTTAGTGTAGGACCCCCGTAAGAGGTTTGCCTTGATGTGGCAGGGGAGCTTACATCCAATGACCATTGGAGTGAAACAAAAACATCCATTTCTTTAAATATGCATAGGGATTTGGGACAGTGCGCAAGTAACTGCTCTTTGGTTTTTATTGTATGTATTGGGGCTGATGTGTACTGTGGTTATTGCTGCCACTGAGGAGTAGTGGGAGTCTGAGCTCAGGACTTATTTTTGTGTATTTGTATTACTCATAAAGTGCCAGCAAATTCCTTAACACAGCACTTACAATAGAACCATACACGGACACTGACTACATCCCACATTTCTTTTCAGCCTCTCATTCAATATTTCTCTCTACTTCTACTTCTGCCAGTCTCTCCTCCTGCTTTATTCTTGTCTCTTTTTCCAGTGTCTTTCTGTCTGTCTCATGCTGCATGTTCTGCAACTTTATGTCTTTCCTACTGTCTCTAAGCAAGCCTTTGTCATTTTCTTCCCACTGTCTCCACCAGTACGTGTCTCTGTGTGCTGAAACTATTTGCTTGTAGGGGTTTTGCATGTATGTGATAACTGCATGCGTGTGCAGGCTGCTTCTAGTGATGTGTGTGTGGTCATAGGATGTGTGTAGCCATAAACTGTGTATGGTGTGTGTGTGGAGGGAGAGAGGGGGGCTGTATCTGTTATGTGTATGGATGTGGGGGCAACTGTATGTGTTATGTGTGTGGGCACAGGTGGTGTGGGGGAGGCTGTATGTGTTATATGTGTGGGCATAGCCTGTGAGTGGTGCTGGCTGCAAGTTTGTGGGCAGGGAGATGTAGTAGATTCTCGGGTATTTTGAGAATATTAGAGAAACCTGAAAGATCATGCTGTCAGAGTGGGCGGATTATAGGTTGCAGATACTGAGATGCAATAGTACATGAGAGGCTGGCTACAGCGGAAAATGAAATTAGCAGTGAAATAGTTAATATCAGATTATTATGACTGAAGGGCAGAGGGGGTTTCTGCGGATGGCGCATACCAGCGGTGAAATAGTTAATATCAGATTATTATGGTAGAAGTGCAGTAGGTTTTAGGAGTTGGGATATACACTGCTCAAAAAAATAAAGGGAACACAAAAATAACACATCCTAGATCTGAATGAATTAAATATTCTTCTGAAATACTTTTTTCTTTACATAGTTGAATGTGCTGACTACAAAATCACACAAAAATTAAAAAATGGAAATCAAATTTTTCAACCCATGGAGGTCTGGATTTGGAGTCACACTCAAAATTAAAGTGGAAAAACACACTACAGGCTGATCCAACTTTGATGTAATGTCCTTAAAACAAGTCAAAATGAGGCTCAGTAGTGTGTGTGACCTCCACATGCCTGTATGACCTCCCTACAATGCCTGTGCATGCTCCTGATGAGGTGGCGGATGGTCTCCGGAGGGATATCCTCCCATAACTGGAATAAAGCATCTGCCAACTCCTGGACAGTCTGTGATGCAACGTGACGTTGGTGGATGGAGCGACACATGATGTCCCCGATGTGCTCAATTGGATTCAGGTCTGGGGAATGGGCAGGCCAGTCCATAGCATCAATGCCTTTGTATTTCAGGAACTGCTGACACACTCCAGCCACATTGTCTTGCATTAGGAGGAACCCAGGGCCAAGCGCACCAGCATATGATCTCACAAGGAGTCTGAGGATCTAATTTCGGTACCTAATGGCAGTCAGGCTACCTCTGGTGAGCACATGGAGGGCTGTGTGGCCCCCAAAGAAATGCCACCCCACACCATTACTGACCCACTGCCAAACTGGTCATGCTGGAGGATGTTGCAGGCAGCATAACGTTCTCCACGGCGTCTCCAGACTCTGTCACGTTTGTCACATGTGCTCAGTGTGAACCTGCTTTAATCTGAAAGCACAGGGCGCCAGTGGCGAATTTGCCAATCTTGGTGTTCTCTGGCAAATGCCAAACGTCCTGCACGGTGTTGGGCTGTAAGCACAACCCCACCTGTGAAAGTCGGGCCCTCATACTACCCTCATGGAGTCTGTTTCTGACCATTTGAGCATACACATGCACATTTGTGGCCTGCTGGAGGTCATTTTGCAGGGCTCTGGCAGTGCTCCTCCTGTTCCTCCTTGCACAAAGGCGGAGGTAGCGGTCCTGCTGCTGGGTTGTTTCCCTCCTCCACGTCTCCTGATGTACTGGCCTTTCTCCTGGTAGTGCCTTCATGCTCTGGACACTACGCTGACAGACACAGCAAACCTTCTTGCCACAGCTCGCATTGATGTGCCATCCTGGATGAGCTGCACTACCTGAGCCACTTGTGTGGGTTGTAGACCCTGTCTCATGCTACCACTAGAGTGAAAGCACCGCCAGCATTCAAAAGTGACCAAAACATCAGCCAGGAAGCACAGGAACTGCGAAGTGGTCTGTGGTCACCACCTGCAGAACCACTCCTTTATTGGGGGTGTCTTGCTAATTGCCTATAATTTCCACCTGTTGTCTATCCCATTTGCACAACAGCATGTGAAATTGATTGTCACTCAGTGTTGCTTCCTAAGTGGACAGTTTGATTTCACAGAAGTGTGATTGACTTGGAGTTACATTGTGTTGTTGAAGTGTTCCCTTTATTTTTTTGAGCAGTGTACATACCAGCAATGAAATTGTTAATATTCCATTATTCCCTGGAGAGCTGGATATTATTTCTTTAGCCTGTACTCTACATTATTTTGCAAGTGTTAAATGTGGATAAGAAATTAAAGCTAAATTTACAGGGGAAAAAAGAAGCCCCAAACAGCAATTAAAGAAAGGGTAATAAAACATACTTTTATTATTTTATTTAAAACATCAGTCTGGAAACAGCAAGGGGGAAAATACCAGATAGATTATGCTAACGCGTTTTGTGCTTTAGAACTTCATCACCTGTGGAGCTATCTACCATCTAATGTACCCCAACAGTTCAACTAATAGGACATTCCCAGTAACTATTGCTGGGGAGGAAGGATAGTAATTTTGCTTGCTTTTTTACTTAGCAGAGTGATGATCGTGATTATATTTGACAGTTTTAATAAAACAGTCACACTGTACTGATAAATGATCTAGTGGTGTGACTGGTTTGATAATACCGTGAGGTGTTTTTTTTAATTATATTGCAAGGATTCTTTCTAAGAATTGTTTGCAACAATAAGCTGAACAGTGAACTGCAGGTAAATGAAAAGCTAAATGAAAATAACATTTGTTTAATTAAAGCCAACATTTTTTTGAGTTCAGCTACCTTCTCATTTATCACATTTTGGCCTAAATTTAGGAAATTCAGGTTTGAGTTCCACACAAATTACTGTTTAGTGTACAGACCTCATTGCATTTTGTTGCTTATAAAAAATGTTGCTTGTTTTTACTGAATTCCTAGTGTGGTTGTATTAGTTTAACAAAATGCAATGATTTACATAACTCCCAACAGTCTCGGGTTATCTGAGACAGTCCCAAATTTGAGCTCCTGTCTCACTGTCCTAAGTTTGCTCTCTTGTGTCCTGAATGTGCATTCAGCTGATTGGCAGTATATTTCAGACATTCATATATATAAATTGTATTTAGTGGTTATGGTGCTTAAATCGCTCTTCCAACTAATATTAGCTTTGCCCACCCCCGACCATATGTCTCATATTTCCCATATTTCTGACCATGTTCCACCTATTTATGTTACACCCACTAAACTTTTTAGAGGGAAATGGTCACTTTCCTGGATTTTAAAAATTATGTTTACTTATATCTATAGTTTAACAAATATGTATTTATAAGGTGTGAATAATAAAATTAAAGGTAGAAATATACACCTCTTTTTCTTGCAACTGGGTTCCTCCATCTTGGCTCCCTGTCATTCATTGTTGTAAGCTCTGTCCTTTGCACCTATCAGTTAGCATAGACCAGGGGTAGGCACCCAGAGGCGGCTCTAGACGTTATGAGGCCTTAGGCGAAACTCAAACAGGAGGCCCCACTAACATGAAGCTGAGGGTGGTGGGGGTGTGGTGAGGCTGAGGGTGGTGGGGGAGGTGGTGGGGGGTGGTGGGGCTGGTGGGGGGGGGTGAGGCTGAGGGTGGTGGTGAGGCTGAGGGTGGTGGTGGGGTGGTGGTGGGGTGATGCTGAGGGTGGTGGGGGGTGAGGCTGAGGGTGGTGGGGGGTGGCTGAGGGCGGTGGGGGGGGAGGCTGAGGGTGGTGGGGGGTGATGCTGAGGTGGTGGGGGAGTGGAGAGGCTGAGGTGAGGGTGGTGGTGAGGGGGTGGGGTGTTGAGGGGGGGGCGTGGAGAGGCTGAGGGTGGTGGGGGGTGGAGAGGCTGAGGGTGGGGGAGGGCTGAGGGTGGTGGGGGTGGTGATGTGGTGAGGGGGTGGTGAGCCATGAGGTGGGGTGGTGGGTGGGGGGGTGAGGCTGAGGGGTGTTGGGGGGTGGTGAGGCTGAGTGAGGGAGTGAGGGGGAGGGTGGTGGGGGGGAGGTGGGGTGAGGCTGAGGGGTGATGCTGTGGGGTGGTGAGGCTGAGGGGTGATGCTGAGGGGTGGAGGCTGAGGGGTGGGGGGGTGAGGCTGAGGGTGGGGGGTGGTGAAGTGAGGGTGGTGGGGGGTGATGAGGCTGAGGGTGGTGGGGTGGTGAGGGTGGTGGTGGGGGGTGATGCTGAGGGTGTGGGGGAGTGGTGAGGCTGAGGGTGGTGGGGGGTGGGTGGCTGAGGTGTGGTGGGGGGTGATGAGTGAGGGTGGTGGGTGGTGAGGGTGGGTGGTGGTGAGGTGAGGTGAGGTGAGGGTGAGGCTGAGGGTGGTGGGGTGTGAGGCTGAGGCAGGCTGAGGGGTGGGGGGGGTGAGGCTGAGGGTGGTGGGGGGTGGTGAAGCTGAGGGTGGTGGGGGTGGTGAGGCTGAGGGTGGTGGGGGTGATGAGGCTGGAGGTGGGGTGAGGCTGAGGGGAGGGGTGAGGCTGAGGGTGGTGGGGAGGTGGCTGAGGTGGTGGGGGTGGGTGAAGTTGAGGGTAGTGGGGGTGGTGAGAGGGTGGTGGGGGTGGTGAAGCTGAGGGGTAGTTGGGGTGATGAGGCTGGGGTGGAGGGTGAGGCTGAGGGTGGTGGGGGTGGTGAGGGGTGGTGGGGGTGTGAGGCTGAGGGTGGTGGGGGGTGGTGAGGCTGAGGGGGGTGAGGGGAGTGGTGAGGCTGAGGGAGGTGGGGGGTGAGGCTGAGGGAGGTGGGGGGTGAGGCTGAGGGGGGTGTGAGAGAGCCTACCTTTACTCCCTGGTGGTCCGGTGGCCATTACTTCCGGTCTGCAGCTCCACAGAGACACATGGTCTGCAGCTCTGCTCACTGTGGAGCTACAGACCGGTGTCTGCGGTAGCTGGCTGGGCACTGGCAGCCAGGAGGGGCGTCGCACGCGGTGGCATACTGGGCAAGCCGCCGGGCCCCCTCCTGGTGTCAGGACCTGACACAGTCTGCGCACAGGCAGCCTAAACCGCCTAATTAGAGAGCCGCCTCTGTAGGCACCCTTTTAGTAGTACTATGCCAAAACAAAATTTTTAAGTCTGTCTGCAGGCCGATCCTCTTTTTTTTTAAACTGAGGTGTGCATGTTGCTGTATTTTACTTTACTGTTATTTATGGGGTCTGCAGTTGCTTTGTACCGTTGTACTTGTGTATATGTAGCCTGTTATATTGTATAGCACATGTTCATGAGTAGTTTGTGGTATTGTGTATGATATCTATGAATGTGAGATGTGTATGGGGGCTGCTTATGGAATTGTGTGTGTGGATGGATATGTCACGTGTGTTTAGTGTGTATGTGTGGGGCTGCTTGGGGTATTGCATGTGGGGTTTTGCGCGTGTATGTGAATTGTCAGTGGCGTTGTGGTTGTGGGGACTGTGTGTATTTGGGCTCTTTGTATTATTTGTATGAGGGGAGGCTTATTCTGCAGCTCTGTGTATATCTAGCAGTGTGGGTGGCTTCCCTGGGATCTATTGGGACCAGGCTGGCCTGGTATAGGTTAAGGGCAGGGGCTGCGATAGCTTCTGCGGGCTGCTCTACTCCAGTGCAGATTCCGGTTCACAATTTCTAGGATGAAGTGATCTCAGATTACTTCCTCTAAGTGCTGCAATGCGTAAATTAAGGATTGCCCTTCACCACTCAGTTTGCACTAAGGACACCTGATAGGCCAGAGTCTTTTTGGCTCTGGCAGCTTTAAATGCCATACAATGGAACCTAGAGTGCCATGCATGGCACATGTGCTGTAGGTTGCTGACCCCTGGCATAGACAAAGTTTACTGTAAAGAGGAGAGATTAAACAAAGCTACTGTAACGGACCGTTTTGCACACAAGGGGTAAAAACAGTTTAGGCGATCGGCCCCCTTTCCAGAGATACAGGCACAGATACTGCAGAACACCAGACTCCCGAACTGGATACAAAATAGCACTCCAACTCCTGAACTGGAACCTCCCAAATAGCTGCTAGCAGACGAACAGGAAAAGCAGACAATCAGCTTACACTCCTGGCAATCAGTCTCTAACAGCATACAGTGAATCCCCCCAAGACGAGACAAGGCTCCGTGTTGAGGGGTCAAGCAGTGGTCTGAGGTGCTGGCACACCCAGCCTGGTTTTTATTACAGTCTTGCAAATACAGGACCGCCCACAGGGAGGTATAAAACAACCAATCACATCACAGTTACATCCCACATATTCCCTCCCCTTATCCTGAGAGGAAACTCAATTACACATACAGTTAAAACATACTTTCTACCCAACTTTCATAACTCTAAAACCATACATCACATTCACATAAAATTACATATTCACAATCAATCCATTCAGGGGAGCAACATATTAAAAAATGGCACAAATCAGACAAGGGGTTCAAAAGTTAGTAAAAAGTCCTTTGTGACTAAATGAAGCATGGCTTTCTGGCCCAAACCAGTTTCAGAGTCTTCTATCCTGGAGATAAGTAATTCAATTATCTCCCAGGACAGACACAAGACTCCATTAAGCACATGGTTGCAAAAAGACACAAAACACTTTAAAATACATAAAGTCACATTTATTACATAAAACACAGACATGTAACATATCCCCAGATAGCTCAGGTCCAAGCGCACATTATTAAGCGAATGGCGCTCAGACCACACGAATACAGTTTAATCGCCATGGAGCCAAAGTCTTTACAGTCAGTTTTATATGAATGGGCTCCATGGGATTCCTATCTGGGGTGTAACACATTCAAACAAATCTACCGAACCCCAGGCAGAAAAGCACGAATGAAGCTTTTCTGCAGGTAAAAAAGATGTCTTTTAACAGGGGGCCATAGTCCAAAGGCAGCAGGCGAGCAACCAGGCTTCTCCAATGCAATGTGGCAAGATTGGTCTCGTCACAGCTACTATATCCTGCCCGGACTTTGCCTTGTCTTAAAGGAATTGTATGGACACCATAACAATTTTATTGAATTAAAGTTCTTATGGACCTTCTCTGTGGTGCCAAGAATGAATGAGGCATAAGTAGGCTTTATCACTATATATCATTAATTCGGCTTATCCCCTGTTACTTTCTACATGTACTCTGAAACCTTTTGACATACAGGAATTTCCTTTGTATTTTCGGTTATGAATCCAGACATTTCCCTTGTAGAAGTCTTGTATTTGTCTCCCACAGAACACAGTTTTGTGTGGTTGCCTTGGAAGTGTCAGCAGCGATCCGCACATCACGTCTCGTTTTCAGACAATGCCTGCTGCTTTCTATTCTTATCCCTGCCAGGCGAGAATCAAAAGCATGGAGCTTGTTAAAGGAACAGATCATACGTGGGCCTCTAATAGAATTAAAGTACTACGGCAATTAATATACTCTAAACTCATTAACAGGGTTTCACTAATTAGCCCAGCTCATCTGTGTTGACAGTTTTTAACGGTTACGCCTGTAAAAAACTAAATTTTCACGTAAAATATTGGATTTCTATTTAGCAGCGAACAGTAACATGAAGAATTGAAAGTGCATGTTATTTTTTATTAACTTTTGTGTTGTGTGAAAAACAATCACTAACTCACATTTGTTCTATTCAATCATTCCACAACCATATAAAAAAAAAGCAATATGCTTAAACAAAAATAATACGGGAAAATGTGTGAACCGTAACTATTTTTATTAAATGGGCATCAGGCTCCCACATATTTCAGGTGCACTGTATAAGCTATAGTTAGTAATGTTTTTTATTAATCTTACTTAGTTCCTTGAAAATTAGTTTTGCTCTATAAACCCAGCCTCCTTCTCTCAAACTGTGGTATGTCTCATAGGGGTGCGCACGGGGTGTGCCGGGTGTGCTGGGGCACACCCTAACCAGGGGAGACTCTCTAATTAGGTGGTTGAGGCGGCCCCCTAAGGCCTCGAGCTGTCTGGGGCCTCACGGTCGCCTAATCCCCCTTAGGGCAGACTGTGTTAGGTCCTCGGACCCGACACCAGGAGGGGGCCCGGTGGCTTGCTCTGGATGCCACCGGGTGCAAGACCCCTCCAGTCTGCCAAGAGGAGAGCACCCATCGCAGACTACTAGTCTGCAGCTCCGCAGTGTAAAATTTTCTATATTTTTTTACAGTGTGCCCCTCTCAAGCAATATCCCTTCCTTAATTCTAGGGGATTTCAACATTCCCATTAACTCACCCTTGTACTCAGTAGCCTCAAAACTTATTTCAATCACCTCCTCCTTTCGGCCATTGCAATGGGCTAATTCTCCCACATATGTAGTTGGCAATACCCTAGATCTTATTTTTTCAAATGCTGTAGACCATGTATCTCGTGACAGTTGGCCAATCAGAGCATTGCCGTGGGTTACCACCAGGGAGCCCACCGGACCACCAGGGATTGAAGACACTGGACCACCAGGGAAAGGTATTTAATCTCACCCCCTCCCTCTCTGTATCCCCCCTCACTATCACCCCCTCCAGTATACCCCTCTCTCCCAGTGACCCCCTTTACTATAAACCCCTTCAATATACTCCCTTCAGCCCCACAATTACCCCCTCCCTCCCAGTATCTCCCCTCACTATCTCACCCCTCCCAGTATACCCCCTCCCACACCACCATTACCCCTCCCTCCCAGTATCCCCCCTCACATTAAGTATACTCACATACACACACATATATACACACCTGGCATGTGTGTTTGTGCTTTAGGGTGCACACCCTTATGCAATAGGCAATGCCTATGGTATTTCTCTTTTAGCTTTACAAATACAGTCCTACATAACTTCAAGCTAACAAATAAAACTACAACTCACAGCAACTGCCTATGGGATATACTCAACACTGCTATGCTAAGGTAAAGGAGCACTCCAAGTACCATAACCACTACATCCCACTGTAGTGGTTAAAGTGCCAGGAGTACACCTCCAAATATCGGGAGGTATGAGATGGGGAGGGGGGCCGTGTCCAGTGATGCAACTGCCTGAAGGAGTGTGTCAGCCTGGTGCCAAAAACTCCAGACTGATTGACTGCCTTACCGGCCTGCCCGAAACAGTGCAGCACTGCTAAAGAACTCTCTGCATGGTTCTAGTGCACGCCGTTTGCCAACAAATGTGGATTCTGCCGGCACTGCTTTCTGGATTCTTTTTGCATGGGAACCCAGACAGCTCTCCTGAGTTAGGCAGTGCCATGCACTGTCTCACTTACTGGCAGAGCACGTCCACATGACCCTATATTGTGCTTAGCTTAGCTTCTTCTGCAGGAGAAAACTGGATGCAGGTCCGGGGCTCTAGCCAAGCTGTTAACCCGTGCTGAAATGGTTTGACAAATTATTCATGGGGCCAGGGCACTCCTCTCACCTAAACCACCACATTGGGGCTGTAGTGGTTATTGTGTCATGTTTGATCCTGAGGAAAGTCCGAATGCGGGACTGAAACATCGATCTATTTGAATGAATACTTAATAAAGACTTGAAGTTTTAACCGGAGACCGTGAGTGCAGCTTTCTCTACTTTTTACACACACACACATATATATATATATATATATATATATATATACACTGAACAGCCACAATATTAAAACCATCTGGCTAATATCGCACTGCCAAAATAACTCTGATGTATTAAGGCATGGACTCCACAAGAGCTTGGAAAGTGTCCTGTAGTATCTGCACAAGATATGAGCAGCAGAACTTTTAAGTCCTGCAGGTTGTGAGGTGGGGCCTCCATTGATTGGATTTGTTTTTCCACATCCCACAGATGCTTAATCGGATTGAGATCTGGGGAATTTTAAGGCCAAGGCCTTCAACACTTTAAACTCTCTGTCATGTTCCTCAAACAATTCTTGAACATTTTTTTCAGTGTGAAAGAGGCCACTGTCATCAATAAACACCATTGGCATGAAGGTGTGTACGTGGTCTACAACAATCTCTAGTTAGATGGTACATTTCAAAGTAACATCCACATGAATACCAGGACCCAAGATTTACCATACCGTTGCCTCTGCCGGCCTGCCTTCTTCTCATCTTCTCTTCCCCAGGTAAATGATGCACACTCACCAAGCCATCCACATGATCTAAAATAAAATGTGAATAATCTTATCAGGAAACGTTCTTTCATGCTCCATGGTCCAGTTCTGACACTCATGTCCCCATTGAAGGCCCATTCGGTGGTGGATAGGGGTCATCAAGGGCACTCTGACCAGTCTGTGGCTACGCAGCCCCATACGCAGCAAACTGCGTATTCTGTGACCTTTATATCATGTCCAGCATTGAAGCATGAAGTTTTTCAGCATTTTGAGCTACAGTAGCTCTTCTGTGTGATTGGACCAGACGGGCTAGCCTTTGCTCACCTCGTGCATCAATGAGCCTTGGGTGCCCATGACTTTGATGCCTGTTCAGCGGTTGTTATTCCTTGCAGCACTTTTGGTAGGTAATAACCAATACATACTGGGAACATCCCAGCACCCCACCAGACTTGCCTTTTTGGAAATGCTCTGACCGTCATCTAGCAATCAAAATTTGGTAATTGTCAAAGTCACTCAGCTCTTTTCACTTACCTATTTTCTGCTTCTAACACATGAAATTCAAGATCTGGCTGTTCAGTTGCTGCCTAATATATCCCATCATTGACAGGTGCCATTGTAACAATGCAATCAATTTTGCAGTGGGTATAAAGTTTAGAGTCTCTTTTCAATAAAATATGTAGCAAAATATTCCACCAGTTTATAGTCTGAAAATATTTCCTTATTCCTTTAATTAAGTGTAATAATGGTGATTGTTTATTTGCTTTTTAGGTAGCCTTTTAGGTAGATTATTTTATTGTACGTGCTGTCGAGATTATAGTTTAATTGGGGGATAAGTCAAAATGCAGTTATTCTGGAATGGCCATTATAGACTAACCCTTTCCAAATTATAAGCCACTGTAGGTGACAGTATTTGCGTATGAGCAATGCTGGCTTATTTTCCAAGTGCATATTTTTTCAGACGATTCTTCAGTTTCTCATCAGTGAAGATTCCATTGTTTAAACTCTTTGCTCTGGTTCTGGTGAGAATGAGAAGTTCTGAGAAGATGAAATTACTGTCCAGTAAATAGTAAGGAAGGCTGCAGAGCTACTGTTTCAGCACCGTTACAGAAGAAGGTATTGCACAGGGAGGGTAAAATGCCTCTGTCGCAGGATACAGAACCTGTGTGTAGGCTAAATTATCAACCTGTCTTTGAAACATGTATGCCTGTCATTTCCCACACCTGGTATATATCTTACATAGACCTTTAACTGCATACTCTGCTGGTATTTTGGGAATATGAAATCCCCAAAAATACCAGCAAATTCTTTAGAAATATTTATGAGCAGCTGTGCACAAAAATAGGTTTGCAATCGATTAAGTAAGAGTATTCAAGAACAAGGTAGGGAATTGCCTATAATGTCTAATTACATAGCTATTTGCATAGCAGTTCGGTGCTTATATGTTTGTGATACAAGGGAGCTCTTTTCCCACAAAACAAATTTGCAATCCGTGGCTCCAGGAGCTCCAGTAGAAAAATTCTCCTTTTCCGTGTTTCCAGAGCTGCCACTTCATTTTGAAAGGAACTAATATTGGTTTTTGTTTCTTTTTAATACCCAGAAGCAAAATATGTGTGAATTTTCTAAATATTCTACTATAACACTTACTGTAAAGTTTATATTCACCGTTCTGTGCCAATTACACCGACGCTCTCTTGAAAGGCTTGCAACACATGGGATGCCATATAATCTCTGCTTTGTTCTCCCTAAATATCTCTGCAAATATGAACATCTAAAATGAAACATAATTTTTCTATAAAAGTAACAATTTTTATTACTTGTGTTGTCCCTGAACTGCAATCTATAGATGTAGTTGTTGTTTTGTTATTATTTCACATGCTAGCTAATTATCCTGTGTTTCAAAAATTGTACACACTACATCATGATATTGATGTTTATCAAAACAGCAGATAATTTACGAGGTGCCTGTAAAACTACTTATTCAGGGCAGTTGTTCAATCAATACTGACCTGAAGTATGAATATTACATGTACATTTAAAGAGACAGTATAGGCACCAACTGTCACGGTAGTTTACCCCTACACGCAAGATTTAGTTCAACAATCGACAGAGCAGATACGACTTACCGGACCTTAGAATGGCCGGACTCGCCGTATAGCAGAGAATAGACAGAGTCAAGAACAAGCCGAGGTCAAGGGAACAAAGAGACTGAGAGAACAAAATCTAGCCAAGGTCTGGTACACAGTAGTCAGTAAGCCAGCAAACAAGACAAAACAGGGATAGAGAGATAAACGGAGTCAGATACAAAGCCAAGGTCAAGCAAGAAAATCACAACTGAACACAACAAGCGCTAAAGGGAACTGAAACAGAAACCACAATAGGGCAGGGAGTTAAGGGAGAGGTAAGTATAAATACCCTAAACTTTACTTTGATTGGCCCCTGTCATATCCACGCCAAAATGTGAGTGTCTGGGGAATGTGGGATGACGGGGGCCAATGGTAGCACATTTCATTTTTTGGCTCCCACTGCCCCTTTAAGAGCGTGCCCGAGATGCGCAGCATGCTCTTAGAGCTAGGCGGGACACGTGACCGCATCTCTCTCAGTCGAGAGCCGCGTGCGGCGGGAAGAGAGGACCTCGGCCGGCCCCCAGGTAAGGTGAGTACCGCTACACCAACACAGCTTTAGCCTAATTAAGTGATTTTGGTGTATAGATTATGCCTCTGTAGTCTCACTGCTCATTTCTCTGTAATGTAGGAGGTAAATCTCTTTATTTATACAGCCCTAGTCACACCTCCCTGTGTGTGACTTGCACAGCACCTAAACACTTCCTGTACAGAGTCATGCAATATTTACACATTCCTTATTGAATCTTTATAATTTCTCATCTCTTGCTCTGTTGTTAACCTTTTAGACCCTGCAGGAGCCAACTGTGTGTGTGATTAAAGTTCAATTTACAGAGCAGGAGATAAAAACTCCTAAAACAAGTTAACATTTGATTGAAAGTGAAAGTGTTTTTTTCATGCAACCTGTGTGAGTCACAGCCAATGGAGGTGTGGCTGGGTCTGCATGAACAGAAACAAAAGTGATTTAACTCCTAAATGGCAGAGAATTTAAACTGTAGGAGCATGATTTATACACTGAAACTGATCCATTAAGATAAAGGTGTTTTGGTGACTATAGTATCATTTTAAATAAAATAATAAAGGCCTCCCCTCCCCCCAAGCAGGAGTGGGGACATGGTTGCTGCCACTGCGGTAGTCACAGCCACCAAAAATTTATACTACGGATGTGACCTTATCTAGACCAAGGGTTCTTAGGAGAAGCTGACAGGCAACACCCGGACACTGTGGAGGGAGCCTGTCACCCACCCACCCTGTCGCTGCTGGTTTATAGTACTGTATTGGTTGTTTGTTGTTGTTTTTCTGTTCTTGTTTTTGTCACAGCTAGTGGTTTTGCCTCGCCAGAGTAATGTTTTAAATATTTCATCTCTTTTAACATATTTTTAATGTCCGCCGTAACTGGGCTTGGGGAATATCTGCTCTTGGTCGACAGGATGCAGGTTGCTGGAGACTCTTGAGGAGATCGTGGGAGAAGCTTTCTACTCGTTTGTTAGCCAGTAGCGGATATTATGTTTAAACGTTGCTGGCATTTTGACTTGCAAATAAAGCTCTGCCCATTGCCCTACCAAAAAAAAAAAAAAATGGTGTGTTGTTTACAGGGCTGGTGCAAGGATTTTTGCCACCCTAGGCAAACAATAATTTGCCGCCCTCCCTATGCTCTGCCCACCATGTGACATCACATTGCCCCTCTCATATGATCTGCCATATGAGCCAACGCCGGTGCTGTACACATTGGTTTTTCTCTGAAAAAGGCAGTGTGTTTACATTAAAAAGCCTGCGTGGACAGGCTATAGACACCAGAACCACTACATTAAGCTGTAATGGTTCTGGTGACTAAAGTGTCCCTTTAATGTGAGGTAAATTAGAGATTAGTAAAAAAGAAGCACATGGAGAGACAAAATACACAAAAAAAAATGGTGTGTTGTTTACAGGGCTGGTGCAAGGATTTTTGCCACCCTAGGCAAACAATAATTTGCCGCCCACCCTATGCTCTGCCCACCATGTGACATCACATTGCCCCTCTCATATGATCTGCCATATGAGCCAACGCCAGTGCTGTACACATTGTTTTTTCTCTGAAAAAGGCAGTGTGTTTACATTAAAAAGCCTGCGTGGACAGGCTATATACACCAGAACCACTACATTAAGCTGTAGTGGTTCTGGTGACTAAAGTGTCCCTTTAATGTGAGGTAAATTAGAGATTAGTAAAAAAGAAGCACATGGAGAGACAAAATACACAAAAAAAAGAGGCTATGTGCAAACCATATAAACACTTCCTCACGTGTTGAAAGTATCCAAATGGTCATAAACTACAGAATGCACACTATAATCACTGCAAGTAAAAATATATAATTTATTAAGTACAGAAACAGTACCACAAAAGAACAATACAAAAAAAATAAACAAAATGACAGTAACAATGGCAAATATAATAGTAAATAGTACAATACCAACAGAACTCCATATAGCCCTAGGGCAGAAACACGAGCCACAACAATCCCCAACGTTTCGGCAACCAACTGCTGCCTTTATCAAGGAGCAGTTGGTTGCCGAAAAGTTGGGCATTGTTGTGGCTCGTGTGGCTCAGACACCCTTGATAAAGGCAGCAGTTGGTTGCCGAAACGTTGGGGATTGTTGTGGCTCGTGTTTCTGCCCTAGGGCTATATGGAGTTCTGTTGGTATTGTACTATTTACTATTATATTTGCCCTTGTTACTGTCATTTTGTTGAATTTTTTTTGTATTATTCTTTTGTGGTACTGTTTTTGTACCTAATAAATTATATATTTTTACTTGCAGTGATTATAGTGTGCATTCTGTAGTTTATGACAAATTAGAGATTAATCTCACTAATAATATACTGGATTGCCTACTTACCACCAAATGAGGACAAGAGGATGATGATGGGCTCAGGTTTCAGTCTTGCTCCACTGGTCTGGTGTTAAAACAGGCTCCCTGGAGGCAGTGCTCACAAATAACAACAAACAGGACCCAGCTCCATTTTTTTGGGGCCCTTACAGGGCCTGACCGTGAGTATGTCTACAAGGCCCGCCCATAAGCCTTATGCCTTCAAGGCCCACCCATGAGTTTGCTCACAGGGAGTGGAGTGTATGTGTGTAGGGGATGTGTTATTGTAGAGGATGTAATGTGAGTGTGTTCTTATGGAATGTAGTGTAGAGGGATACCAGTTTGTGTAAAGGATGTAGTGTGTGTGTGTATAGGGGATTCAGTGTGTGTTTGTGTGTAAGGGATGCATTGTGTAAATCTGTGTTTGTATGTGTAAGGGATGCAAGGTGTGTGTTTCTGTGTGTGTGTGTATGTATTTAATGTAATGCAGTGTGTGTGTCTTTAAGGGGTACATTGAGTGTGTGTGTAAGAGATGCATTGTGTGTGTAAGGGATGCATTGTGTGCTTCTGTGTTTGTATGTGTAAGGGATGCAAGGTGTGTGTGTATGTATTTAATGTAATGCAGTGTGTGTGTCTTTAAGGGGTACATTGAGTGAGTGTGTAAGAGCTGCATTGTGTGTGTGTAAGGGATGCAGTGTGTGTGTAATGGATGCATTGTGTGTTTCTGTGTGTGTAAGGAAAGCATGGTGTGTTTCTGTGTGAGTGTAGGATGCATTGTATGTTTCGGTGTGTCTGTGGGCGAGACCTTTAATGATCTCTTTTACTCCCCCCGTCCCTTAGTGGTCTCATCTCCTCTTCTCCCCCTATCCCTTAGAGGTCTCCCCTCCTGTCCCTTAGAACTCTCCCCTCCCCTCTTGTCCGTTAGTGTCCTACCCTAGTGCTCTCTCATCCCCTCCTATCCATTTGTGCTCTCTCATCCCCGCTTATCCCTTACTGCTCTCCCATCCATCATTCCCTGCCCCCTGTCCCTTAGTGCTCTCCCCTTCCCCCTGTCCCTTAGTGTTCTCCTCTCTCCTCCTGTAACTTATTGCTCTCGCCTGCTCCCCTGTCCCTTAGTGCTCTCACCTGTCCCTTAGTGCTCTCCCCTGCCTCCGTCCCTTAGTGCTCTCCCCTGCCTCCGCCCCTTAGTGCTCTCACCCTTCCCCCTGTCCCTTAGTGCTCTCCCCCTTCCCCCTGTCCCTTAGTGCTGTCCCCTGCCCCTTATCCCTTAATCCTCTCCCCTGACCCTTCTTAATGCTCTCCCCTTGACCCTTAGTGCTTTCCCCTGCCCCCAATCCCATAGTGCTCTCCCCTGCCCCCTTAGGCCCTTAGTGGTCTATGCTCCTGTCCCCCAGTGTCCCTTAGTGCCATCTCCCCTCCCTTCACTAGTGTGCCTCCTACTTCTTTTGTAGCGTGGCTTGGGCGGCGCGGACCGTGGTACAGGAGCTTCTGTTTCCTGTACCTGGCTGGACTGACAGAAAGTGCTTTCTCAGTGAGCACTTTCTGTCAGTCCGGCCGGGAACAGGAAACAGATGCTCCTGTACCACGGTCCGCGCCGACCGGCCACGCTAGACTGAGTGACTGGCAGGGGGAGCGCTGTGCGCTTCCCTCCTCCCGGATCACTCAAATCTTGCATCCACTGGGTCGGTGCCGGCCCTGGTTGTTAATTATTATTCTATTATTTATATAGCGCCAGCAAAATTCCGTAGTGCTGTACAATAGGATTTATTTATTGAGGAAGAGAGGGGGTAGTGGGTGGTCAGCAGTCATGTTAACTCAATCAGTCATGATCTATTTACAAATGTGTTAAACCTCAATGTATTCAGTCCTGATTTAAGAGAATTTAGGAGGGAGCTGTGAATTGTGTCTGTTGGTACATAATTCCCATAACAAGGCCCCTAACTAAACTAAAAGGGTCAGTAAAAGAGAGAGATTGGAGAGGCTGCAGAGCCAGGTAGTGATCAGACTTATCACACTGTCAGAGTTTGTTCACTAGACACCAAACTGTAATGAATTAAAACTCAAGACGTAGACAAAAATAGCCATATAGGAAGGGATTTGTGTGTGCGTGCGTGTGTGCGTGCGTGTGTGCGTGCGCGGGATTTGTGTGTGTGTATGAGTAGGGACCACTGTCTGTCAGCAAAGTATGTGTAAGTAGAGAGCACTGACTGTCAGCACAGTGTGTAAATGAGTAGGAAGTATTGACTGTCAGCAATGTGTATGAATAAGCAGAGAGTACTGACTGTCAGAAAAGTGTATGAATAAGTATGGAGTGCTGACTGTCAGTGTGCATGAATGAGTATGGAGGGCTGACTGTCAGCAAAGTGTATGAATGAGTAGGGAGTGCTGACTGTCAGCAATATGTATGAATGAGTAGGGAGCGCTGACTGTCAGCAGTGTGTATGAATGAGTAGGGGGTGCTAACTGTCAGCAATGTGTATGAATGAGCAGAGAGTGCGGACTGTCAGCAGGGAGCTATATCTTTCAGCATTACATGTGTGTATAAGCTGTGGGCCCTCACTGTGAGCTGTGTGTGTGAGCACTGAGCCCTCACTGGGAGCAGAGTGTGTGTATAGGCAGTGAATCCTCACTGGGGAGCAGTGTGTGTATAGGCAGTGAATGTGTATAGGCAGTGAGCAGAGTGTGTGTATAGGCAGTGAATCCTCACTGGGAGCAGAGTGTGTGTATAGGCAGTGAGTGTGTGTATAGGCAGTGAATCCTCACTGGGAGCAGAGTGTGTGTATAGGCAGTGAATCCTCACTGGGAGCAGAGTGTGTGTATAGGCAGTGAATCCTCACTGGGAGCACAGTGTGTTGTGGGGATATTTATGGGGTGATAAATATTAAAATAATATTTTCAAAAGAATTATCAAAAATTAATTTAATAATTTTTATTATATCAAAATTGATATCTTGGCGTGGTTCACCGAATAATAAAGCTGAGAATTACTCGCGATTTTAATTCTTTTAGATCCTAAAGGAAGCTCGTTAGAGGGTTTTTACTTCACACAGTGATCACAAATAAATTATAAAAATATAATTTATTGTGACAATAATAATAAAAATAATATATGTAACATGTGTGACAATAAGGGAATAATTAATATAACATAGGAATACAGTATGGCAATGGTTTAAACACAGTACAGCGACTGAAAGCGACCAGTTGCCAACAATTTAAAAAAAATTATGATAGAGCACTGTTTAGAAATCACTCAAAACCAAATTCACATAGAAACAAACTTCACAGCAAATAAAGCAATAAAACTTAGTTTTCATTTAGATCACACTGAATTTACCTTTCACTGCTGGCTACAATCCTCATAGGCAATATATTCTATTATGTTGTAACTTTACAATTAAAGTACTGTTCATACCAGATCATTTACCATTCCTAGGACCATCCAATAAAAGTAATTCTACCAGATTTTACATTTGCCGAATTTTAACTTTCCTAAATAAAATTCACTATCTTATTTCAGAACAAGTCAACACATCTGGATAAAAACTCTGGTATGCTAATACGTGTCATATTTTACCGTAAATATATTGTTATCTTTATTCCACCTGCAGGCACGGAATTTTTATAACCATATATTCCTTAGCTAACTAAGATTTCTAATGATTGAAATCTAACCAAGATTTATCCAGATATTCATATTTTACCGTTAATATATTGTTATCTTTATTCCACCTGCAGAAATTGAATTTTTATAACCATATATTCCTTAGCTAACTAAGATTTCTAATGATTGAAATCTGACCAAGATTTATCCAGATATTTATTCCTGCTATTAGTAGAATTTTAATTAATTTAACTTTAATTAAATAAAACCAGCATAATTACCAGTTAGGTTGTAGATTTTCTTATCAGATGTGTAGATCTGTCCTAGGAATTTAAATGCAAGTATGATGGGGATTGTGGACAATAGAAAAGTTTTTGTTAGTTGGAAAAGTAATAGTAAAAATTAGGTGTCCAGAAGAGTGTTGTTTCTTGAGTACAGTCCAAGTATATGTATATCAATGAGAGTTTGAATGTGGTTCAAAGAATATGAATGTTTGAATGTCTGAATCTTTGACAGTCCTTACTTTTTAAAGGGCCAAACTCTCTGCACGACACTAATTGATAGGACCAATAGGGAACTGTAGGTGTGTCTTCCCTACACACTATCATCTAGATTTTGGTCAGTAGATGGCGCAATTACATCACCAAATTTTCTTGTCAGGAGGTCCATTTGCCTTTTTGCATAATGGGTTAACTGAAATTGGTGATGCGTTTTATGTCATTTTCCACTATCTTTATCTATCTTTATCTACTTTAAATCTAAATTCCTTCCAATTTCAAAGGCTTTGTTTCACTCTTACCCAGACTTAATGTCTGGCATAGACCTTTAAATCTAGCTTTCTGACATGTCTAAACTCTCCTTCACCTCTTGCTTACAATGGAACTAGTGATGTTCCGTTAAATTATAATTTTTTTTTAGAAAGTAAATTGAATTACTTAATGTTATCTGTCATTGGTGTCTGGTTTTCTCGTGTGAAGCTGTGTTTAAGATTATTTCTATCCCACTAACATTATTAAATAATATGATATTTCTTCATTGATATTTATCCATGAATAATCTATATTATTAACATAATACTAATTATATATGATTAATATAATTAGTAAATAAGTGGATAGTGTGTATATGTATATATAATTATGTATACATTTGTCTCTGGGTTAGTATTCCATCCCATTTCTTATTTTTTTTTGTCAGCCATCAAGTCTTATCACTTGTCTTGTTTACATAATGCATTCCTTAGCTCAGACTTGAATGAATAGAGTGATATAAAGAAATATTGTGTCTGTCTTAGCCTTGTAATACAAAAATGGAGTCACCTCTGTTCTGAGAGTGACTGGCAGTATAAATGTTTAAAGGACCACTATAGTGCCAGGAAAACATACTCGTTTTCCTGGCACTATAGTGCCCTGAGGGTGCCCCCACCCTCAGGGACCCCCTCCCGTCCGGCTCTGGAAGGGGGAAAGGGGTTTAAACTTACCTTTTTCCAGCGCTGGGCGGAGAGCTCTCTGCCTCCTCTTCTCCTCCGATCCGCCCCGCCGGCTGAATGTGCACGCGCGGCAAGAGCTGCGCGCGCATTCAGCCGGTCTCATAGGAAAGCATTTACAATGGGAGCAGAGTGCGTGTATAGGCAGTGAATCCTCACTGGGAGCAGAGTGCGTGTATAGGCAGTGAATCCTCACTGGGAGCAGAGTGCGTGTATAGGCAGTGAATCCTCACTGGGAGCACAGTGTGTGTATAGGCAGTGAATCCTCACTGGGAGCAGTGTGTGTGTGTGTGTATAGGCAGTGAATCATCACTGGGAGCAGTGTGTGTGTGTATAGGCAGTGAATCATCACTGGGAGCACAGTGTGTGTATAGGCAGTGAATCCTCACTGGGAGCAGTGTGTGTGTATAGGCAGTGAATCCTCACTGGGAGCAGAGTGTGTGTATTGGCAGTGAATCCTCACTGGGAGCAGAGTGTGTATAGGCAGTGAATTCTCACTGGGAGCAGTGTGTGTATAGGCAGTGAATCCTCACTGGAAGCAGAGTGTGTGTATAGGCAGTGAATCCTCAGTGGGAGCAGTGTGTGTATAGGCAGTGAATCGTCACTGGGAGCAGAGTGTGTGTATAGGCAATGAATCACCACTGGGAGCAGAGTGTGTGTATAGGCAGTGAATCATCACTGGGAGCACAGTGTGTGTATAGGCAGTGAATCCTCACTGGGAGCAGTGTGTGTGTATAGGCAGTGAATCCTCACTGGGAGCAGAGTGTGTGTATTGGCAGTGAATCCTCACTGGGAGCAGAGTGTGTATAGGCAGTGAATTCTCACTGGGAGCAGTGTGTGTATAGGCAGTGAATCCTCACTGGAAGCAGAGTGTGTGTATAGGCAGTGAATCCTCACTGGGAGCAGTGTGTGTATAGGCAGTGAATCCTCATTGGGAGCAGTGTGTGTATAGGCAGTGAATACTCACTGGGAGCAGTGTGTGTGTATAGGCAGTGAATCCTCACTGGGAGCACAGTGTGAGTACAGGCTGTGAATCGTCACTGGGAGCACAGTGTGTGTATAGGGAGTGAATCCTCACTGGTAGCACAGTGTGAGTACAGGCAGTGAATCCTCACTGGGAGCAGTGTGTGTATAGGCAGTGAATCCTCACTGGGAGCAGTGTGTGTATAGGCAGTGAATCCTCACTGGGAACAGTGTGAGTACAGGCAGTGAATCGTCACTGGGAGCACAGTGTGTAGTTTAATGAGCCCTGGCTGTGTGCATGTGTGAGGTTGTGGATAGATTGCAGGGAGTGACACAGACACATTGTGACTCAGTCTGTGGGACAGGAAGGACACTGGGACCTGCAGCCCTGCTGGATGTAGTCAGGAGTGAGGAATCCCTGCTCGATCTGCCAGTGACTGGACTTCTATCTCCATCTCCGGACTAGCTGCAGCCAAGCAAGGCATGAACAACTCTGAGCCCAAGGAGTACCTGACCAGGAGAGAGATCCCCCAGCTATTCGAGGTGAGTGTGCCCTGCCTCCTGTCCTGGAATTAAACATTGTGTAATGCATGATCGCCTCTGTGATACTCAGCATCGATTTAATGCGGTCTGCAACGCCACCTGTTCTCCCTATATAATCCTTCATGTACAGAACGTTCTGTATCGGTATATACAGCACTGTACCGGTATACGCTATCCTGCACCTGTGATCCGCGTGTAATCAGGCTGATACATTTGTATCGCACACTGCACCTGTGTAATCATTCCTAATCCTTTCATTCTAAGACTATATACTCCAATACACGTGTGATCATTCCGGATGTACTACAATATATACCTCCCTGCACGGTATCCCTTTACTGCTATAATGCATTGTTCACTGTATATTACATTATACACCTGTGTAATTATTGTCATCCCAATCTCGTATATTTTACACGTGTACAACCCCTCATATACATTAATAATGTGCTATGCTTGTGGTCACCCCTCTGCGTTTATAGTACATGCTGCTCCTGAGTAGCCATCCACTTACCTGTGCATTGTACTCACGTACAACCATTCCTGTGTATTTATGCTGCATTCCACACCTGTAATTTGATGATAATCTTTGGTGAAGCAACATATCGCATAGTGGACTTCTATAGTCATTCATCTGGAGCATATTTTAAACCTCTATAATCATTGCTATTCTAATACAAGCCAAGGTACTCACCTATAATATTTCACTTACACATAGTGTATTCTTTATAATTATTCCTGCACATGTAAAGTACATTTTGCATCTTTATAATCCATTGTGCTGCAATATATACAATGCACCTGAGTAATCAATTATGTGTCTTTATATCATATTATGTACCTGTATAATACATTCTAACCTGTATATTAGTTCCAATATCAGTGTAGTGCATTCTAACCTACCTGTATATTCATTCCAACATCAGTGCATTGCATTCTAACCTGTATATTCATT